AACCTAGGGATTGTGGGTTCGATTCTCGGTGGAAGCACACTATTCTCTTTCCTGTTACAAATGTATGCACCTTGTCTTTATGAGTAATAGCAAAACTTTACTTATGTGCGAATCAATATCTTCCAAAAAGTTCAAAGATTAACAGAATGTCGTGATTTTGTGTACTTAGTTCTGATTCATAAATACAGTCAAAAATCAATATTACCATCTGGATATCTAAAATACCCCGTCTGTTTCAAAGTCAGTATTTGGTATGATGGCACGTTATTTCTTGATTTTAAATGTTAAAATATAACCAACACCATATTGAAACTGCCACCAAAATATAACTAACTTCAGGATACAACTATAGATTACAAAATACTCCAATAAAGAGCATAGGTGAACTTCATTATTTTTGTACAGAAAAATAATTTGCTAACCTACAGAAGCTTGCCTTGCAGATAACATAAATGAGATTTTGTCGGATTTGACAGACATGATAGCTTTTAAAGCAAATGTCATGTGTATCCCTTGTGTGCCAGGCCAATAGCTCTTACTGCGACAAACAAATTTATTTCATTTCCTTTAAGTCGTTTTGACAATTAAATCAATTTCACTCAGACTAGACAGATCTTTCGGAGAGAAACACAGCAATTTTCACCTCTAGAATAGATCCGATGAAAACTCTTTACAATGACTGAAAACAATACAGTGCAACTGTTCTTCAATGTCAGAACGGACATGTACACCCCAACCAATGAAGAGAACTTGAAGAAAATTTCTCAAAAGCATGCACAGTCCTGATTTACGAGGTTAGATCAATCAGCCATTTGTTTGCTAACAGATCAAATTCAATACAGACAACAGCAGAGCTCAAACAATGACAGTATTTTATCACCGACACTTTTAATTTCTTTCTGTTTGGAGATCAAGAATGGTTTTTAAATTGTCAAATATTTATTTGATGAAGGTTAACCGATTAATTAGGCATTTACATTTAACTTTACAAGGATATGGTTTGGTAACATGACAAGGTTTGTCCACAGACAATGGGCTGGTTGTTACACCACTACAACTGCTGCCCAAATCTGATGATATATTGTAAAGCTATATTTACATTTGCACTGCAACCCACTTTATGAGCATAACCAGCAGAAATGCATTTCATTTGAGTATGAAAACAAAACCTCTTGTGACGAAACATGTGGTTTACTTATGACGTCATAGATTAATCTTGTTCAATGAGAGTCTTGTCGCTTCACTTGGAATAACATGGAGAATCCCCCTGCCTCAAATGACTACAGTTAATTATTGTATATAAACTTTATTTAATTTACAACAATTATGAAACAAGTTATTTCAACTTATATTAATCACTCTTGTTGGCCCGGATGTTAGCACGTGGGGGGTCTTAGTGTGGGAATTATTGGCGCCAATTTTATCTAAATAGGGATGTTCCAACTATGTCGTTTAAAAGATGACGCATATACAAAACGCAGTAAATAAATAAAGTATTCAAGAACAATTAAAAATAGCGAGTTTCATGTTGATATGGATGTAACGAAAATGCGTTCCTACTGACCTGAAAATTTAAAAAACGCTGCTCAATCCCTAAGTGAAAGGTAATGATGAAGAAGGTAAGTTCTATTACCTACCATAGGTGTTTAGTTAAACAGTATTTTATTGTCAGTATAATGTTCCAGTAATACAAACATGATATACATATAGGATTTGAAAACAAGTACAATTAAAGTACTTATGTTAATCTGTCTACCAAAGGTGTTTGATGAACATGGTAGATAGTTAAAGGTATTTCATAAAGAACACAGTCTATCTGCCATGGGTATTTGATGATAATGGTTAATACTTTAAGATGTTTGATGAAGAACACAGTCTACCTGCTATGGGTATTTAATGAAATGGTTAAAAGTTAAAGGTAGTTTATGAAGAACAAGGTTTACCTGCTTTGGGTATTAAATGAAAATAGTTAATAGTTACAGGTATTTGATGAAGAACACAGTTTACCTGCTATGGGTATTTAATGAACACGGTTATTATAGTTACAGGTATTTGCTATGGGTATTTGATCAACATGGCTAATATCTAAAGGTATTTCATGAAGAACCCAGTTTACTTGCTCTGGGTATTACATGTTCATGTTCACAGTAAAAGAAGGACACAGTTTACTCGCTATGGGTATTTAATGGACACTGTAAATAAAGTTACAGGTATTTGCTATGGGTATTTGATGAGCTTAGTTAATATTCAAAGGTATTTGATAAGGAGCATTGCTAAAATGCCATTATATGTATCTATGACAAATCTAATCATCCTGACTTGTAGCACATATTTAATATATTACCTATGTATGCACAAAAATATTCATGTTATACCTGATTAAGTCAACATTCTTAATTGTACTTTAGCAGTGATAGGCCCAAGCTTGATTTGAAGCTTGATTTGAAGCCCATCCCCTTGTTAAACAGTTTTAAAGATGACTGCCTTACAGCTGCGTGCTATCATAAATGATCAATATTTTGGTATGGTGGAGTACTAAGAGAGTGACTTTTTTATCGTCATCTCTTTCTCTGTGATCGGCACAGGCCCTGCCGTAAATCTATATACCAGTCCAGACATCACAGGCAGATGTAGGGAGAAATATCAGTGAAAACATCCGTCAAATCGTGGCAGATCACGACCGATATGTATCATGTCATGATGGAACAGTTTACTTTAAAGAGAACCGTCCTGTATCTGATGACGACATATTGGAGTCTGTCAGGAACTCTGGCATTGCAGACTCTCAGCTTAAGATCTCCACAACGATATTCTATATACCAGGAAACCTTCCCCCCATTGAAGTATTCACAATCCATATTTGCCCAGTGTCTATCTTGTGCGTAGAAATACTAAGTAATCTTGCCTTCAGCTGTAGAAATGCTGCTGTTTTCTAAAAGTTGCCAATATCATATATATACTCTCATTCGAGGAAAAAAGGGATAAAGTAAAAATAAAAGGACATCTTGAACACTTCAAAATGTGGAACTCTTTTGGAGAAAATATGTATTTTAAAGTAAGGTAGCATACCTCCTTAACTCATTCACCCCTGTAATTTCATAATAAACTATTCCAACCATTGAATTGGAAGAGTTCAAATGTGTCTTCAGAGGGGAATGAGTTAAAGGTGTATACTTTCTTTATGGTTTGTTTAGCATGCCTCCATGCTGACTATATCAAATGTCATAGATCAACAGCATCCTCTATGGGTGCAAATCAATGTTTAAATAATGCTACTGTAAACCAATATTATGTGAAGTCCTAGGTTTTTTAAAAGCACATCAGAAAACAAGATGATAACCTTTACATTAAGGTGGTCATACTACAAGTGCTGAAAACCACACTGGCTAGCAGTCATATCTATATCTCCAAAAACATACCAGGCTAAGCAATATCAGACCCTCAGTTCACACCAGCAGCACAAAGAGATTAGTGTAATTACCTCCCCTTATAGCCTTGACCTTGATGCTCTCCCCTTCTGGAATTCTTCACAACTAGATTTTAAAATCTTATCTCCAGTAAATTTTATATTCCAATTAAAATGTTGAAGTTCTTCTTGCCTTCCATGAAAATAACACCTGCTTTTCTTGGCTAATTTAATTGTATCCAAGACTGCCTCTCGGCTTGTCAATACGCCATTCCCCGCTGACACTTGTTTGAAAGGATAACAATTAAATCTTTGGAATGATGCGACGATTTCTATTCCCTCTTGCGCCTTGTCTGGCGAAAACTTCAGAATTTTCCCATCACAATAATAAACTTCTCCTCTAAAGGTGCTCATGTTGTTTTTAATTACCACCTCATCATAATAACTTACTGGTAATTTCTAGTTATTTCGACAATTAAGGGTAGGATAAGGAAGGTGTTGCCACCATGCTAGTTACGCAGCGTAATCAGCCTCCCTGTCAAATATTTTGTAGCTGCCATTGTGACATCTTCAACAAACTTGTGTTAGTCGACATCAATACTGCAGTCCACAGTAAACACAACTTTCTTTTTGAAGGGACTGTACGGGTTGAAGGTCTTTCTCTACAAGCAGTGTGTTTATTTGCAGCCGAAGCTTGCAATCATGTTTGAAAAAATGCTATGCCAGGTTTACTAGGCAATTATACTGAGAGTGAGGTTTTAAAAGGCGACAATTACAGTCCTATATCCTAAACTGTTACCGCATTGGTGTCTGGAAAACGGAACACATCAATTTCTTGAATTGGTTTCTTTGCAGAAAACCGACAATGATTTATAAGTTCAACATCATGTTATACATAGGTCGGCAATGGAAGAATTGAGAAACTCCTTTAAAAGGAAGTTGAGTTAAACCTTGCCTATGTCACAGTGAACACATGAAAAAAGTTTGCAAAAAAGAGTACCCCTTAAATAGCTTTTCTCTCTAAGGTTTGAAACCAATTCACATAAGGTCAATGATTAGAAAACCAAGCTATAAACTGTCTAACAAATTAACAAGGGAAGCAACCTAAAACAATAGAAGGTAGTGTGATGATGGGCAGGTAACACGTCCACTGGGGGATGTAACCTATCCACATGGGAGGGGTTTGGGGGTATCTTTTCTAAACACCAGATAAGTACCATTTTACGGGGATGTTACCTTTCCACAGGGGGGATAATCTAAACACCAGATATGATTTTTTTTTACAGGGAAGGAAACCTTACCACTGGAGATGTAGCCTTTCCATATGGGTGAGGGTTACCTTTCTACAGGGGGGATAATCTAAACACCAGATATGTAACCTTTCTACAGGGAAGGAAACCTTAACACTGGAGATGTAGCCTTTCCATATGGGTGAGGGTTACCTTTCTACAGGGGGAATAATCTAAACACCAGATATGAAACATTTTTACAGGGAAGGAAACCTTATTACCACTGGAGATGTAGCCTTTCCATATGGGTGAGGGTTACCTTTCTACAGGGGAAGTAACCTAATCAGAGAATTGGTGTAACAAACCTGTTTGGCTTTGAGGTGTTTGACCCGCTTGACGAACTCTCCGTGGTGGAGTTCCTGGAAGGACAGCCACTGGCCATGCTCGTTTCCTACAAGAAATCAATGCACATCAAGATTAACCTTTAGTACAAAGTGATAAACACAGAACTAATTGTCGATCGAAAAACAAAGGTCTTATTTTAGATAGAATTTACAGAATTAATTCTAGAATTTCATTTTATAGTGAGTCTGGAAATCTTAGACAAAACTTTCAAGTGATGAAAATAACTGAAGATACATTCTGTAACTTAGCTCTTGATTTTTTTCCTGAATAAAGACCTGGTTTTCCCTCAATACAATCTGACATCACCGTATACTGATTTTTTTATGATTTTTGTAGCTATCTTCCAAATGTTCTATACAACAGCTAATGAATGTATCATCCTTTCCCTTACCGCATGTTTCCGACTCGGAGGGTGTTGCCTTGAAAACCAAATGGGGATGTTCAGTCTGAAAAACATAAATAAGCTTGTACATTTAATTCTCTGCCATTTAAATCAATGTATGTATCCACAAATACATGCATACAAATTGCTTTTAGAATTAATATTTAAACTGTTGACAGAAAATAAATATTTCTTTGCATAATCTTCATCAACAAAATGAAACATGTTAAGAAATTATTTTTGGACGGCTTTGATAAATCAACCAATACCCTTTTTTCTATTGTGACCCTTTGTATGGTACCTACCCCTTCATCCCCTCCGAGTAGTGGCTGGATCACATAGGTCTCATTGTTCAGGTTAATGACGCCCCTGAAAAAAACCCATATTCATATTGAAAAATTATCACATTCTTCTGTCGAACTGTTTTATTGGGAATCTTATCCCAAAATTAAATTGGCTTCAGAAGCTTGGCAAAAAAACAGTTTTGAGATATGTGTAAAAAGTATAAAAGGCAGATGAATTCATAAAACATGTTTATGAAAATGACAAATGCTGCATAAAGGCTGGAAGAGTGTTCACACTTGAAAATGGCAATTTCCTCTCAACTTACAATAACCTTTATTCAATGATATTTTGTCCTTTCCCAAATATATGGCATGCACTGAGCTCTGGAAAGGGATTTTTTCTGAAATTACGAACTTGGAATAATGAACCGATGACTTTCTGCTTTAAATGAATGTTGTCATTTAGGCATCATACATTTTTTTCAAATCCTCAAGACATCAAGAAAAATCCCAAAATTATTTTAAGCATCCCCTTCTCATTCACTCCTGAAGACACATAATTTGAACTCTTCCAGTTCAGTTAGGTGGGAATAGTTCATTATGAAATTACATTACATATACAATCTAACAACACAGATAATTTATCACTTTCTAATCATTAACAGAATGCTCAGAGCAAATTAAAACGTTGCACTTTTTCTACTCCAATCTCAGGCAGTCCAGAAATAATTGAAGTGCAAATCAAATTCTTTAAAGTGCACCTAACAAACTCATTTTCCATCTTGTTTTTATCCCATCTTTATCAATCATGCTGGCATTTTATGGTAACTCCGTAACAAAATGCCGAACTGATCCTTTTTAAGCCACATCACTGGGTGGTTGTTTAGTTTGGAACGGAATCTGATAGCCATCTCAAGGGTCCGAGGCTTTCAGTATAAAGGACCGTTTGTCAAAGGTTATCGCCAGCATCTTCACCTTTATACGTCATAAAAGTACACCAGGATAATACTTGTATTTTAGAGTGAAAATGTTACGATTTGTAATGCTATATTATCCCATCAACATATTTCCATTTGGACATCATATCGCGTTATCTATAACCTTCATATTTCTGATAACCTCCATGAGATTATACAAGTATCGGTACCCAGTATATTTTTTCAGAATCTATACTTGGGTTAATGCTGGAATCCTAAAGAGAACAGAGGGTCGGCCAGTATATATCCATAAAGCATTCTCGTGCTCAGGCATTGATTCTGGGCTCAAACTAACTTTCCTATAACCTGCTAATTCATGTGACACAGCCAAACCTTTAACTGTTAACAGCAATTAAAACAGTATTTGGCTTTAAGTGTTTTCAATGTTCCTCTAAATCATGAATTAAATATGAATTTTAATCATTAATTGCCAGCACAAGGATTTAGCTTGTGCACAGAGTTAGAGTTTTAGCATAAGAACAGTTTCATGAATACAGCACAGGTTTAGAAATTTTGCCCCAGACAGACTTACACTGTGTATTAAGGGCAGGGCAGCCGTCTGACAGGTACACACCCTCGTGTGGGTGGCACCTGTCTGCAAGGGATAGTTTCTAACACTGGTTCTTATTTGGAGACATTTGTCTTTACAGGATACTCCTTTATATAGCAGACAACTGTCTAATATGGAACATCCATCATGTGAGAGATCACTGTATAAAATGACATGTGTCTATAAGGGACAAACTCAGAATACAATCTATTCCAATATGTAAGTCTCCTTTCCTAGCCATGTTCAATTTGTGCTTCTTTAACTCATTCACCCCTGAAGACACATCTTGAACTCTTCCAATTCAAAGGTTGGAATAGTTAATCATGAAATTTCAGGGGTGAACAAGTTAATTATGGATATGAAACTTTGACTATTTCGAAGTATATCAAAACACAATCAATGTGCTGACTGATCTATAGACAGTTGCTTGTATTAATCACAGCATCATCCCTCCCCTCCTCCAACTTCCAAATGTCTATTCTATTAAACTGCAGTCCCACAATGCACTGCTTCCCTTCATGTATACATCAGTACAGTAAATCATGTGTATCTACGTATACCCTACCCTAGAAAACATTAATTTACTAGGACCCTCACCTAGCTCAAACACTCCACCCAGCCAGTCAGATAATTATCTACCTCAATTACAAAAGAAAACAAAACAAAGAGAATGGAAACATACGACTCTCTGAAGAATCCAGGAAAGTTATCAACCCACAACACGGAAAGAGGTACCAGAAATAGCCGACGTAACCTCCCGTGAGTTAAAAGAAACGATCATATCTTGGAGCCATAAAAAAATGAATTATGAAAAAACGGCTGATGGAAAAATCAGATACAGTACAGGCACGAATTACGAAAGCCTGTGAAGTGTTGATGCATGTTACAGATTGGTGCTCACGTCATTATGAAATGCATCAAGGTACAATCATATAATATCTGACAGATGTATATGTAAAAAATCTCTGCATTTTGGAGTTACTGAAGAGGGTACCAGACCTTTTCACACCATAACATTTCAATTATCAGCCGATTTTGAAGTCAGAAGTAATAATTGGTATCTGCTATCGAAATTGAAATGTGTTTAAGTATCCAGAATTCCTAAATACTAGTTAAAACCTTGTTGTTTTGCAATTTCTTCCTATTAAATCAAATGCCAATTAATTTCTGGTTTTCTTTTCGATGAACAATTTCACTTCAATTCTTTAACCAAACAAGTGTTTGAATGAAGTTATAGAAAATATCATCGGAGTTAGTAATATGGCTTCCACTTTTGGGTTTTTCTGAACTCCTATTAATTATAACTTGATGTGCTGCTTAAAAATTCTATGATTGAAAAACATGTAACATTTTACTGTGTAGGATACTGAGCTTATTCTGGGGACTTTTCGGGGCCGATAATGTGCCCTAAACCCAATTGAAACTTTCATTTCATATTTATGCCGAATTCCCAAAGTTTGAAGTTTACTCCTGACAATTTCCTACTCAAATGAGAAAAAAAGGGTTCCTTCCCAAATTCACAAAAAACACCTGCAGATAATGGGGGTGGGAAAGTGGAGAGGTATTGTGTGTGTTGTCACTTTGGAAGTGGAACATAAACTGCGATAGAGAATTTGACCACATTTTTGCTTGTTTAAACAAAGACATTTTACTGAACCAGATATTGAGGGAGGAGAAGTGTGAGGGG